AATAAACTACAAATTACGTAGAATGCATAATAAAGTATGCAAATTACTGAACATTGTAGTAAAAAAACTGTTCAAATTGGAAAAAACATGTTCTCGAAAGTAAGCCAATGAAATCTATAGCAGATGAAAAAATGGTGTTTAGAAAGACGGAAAAAGAACCGACAGAATCTAGGACGAAAACCACGAACCCGGAAAACTGATAAATTTTTCGAAAAAGGAATTAGAACGGGAAACGGGCTTTAGCTAATTACTACTTAAATTATGGTTTATTTCTTTGAATTTTCAATGAATTGAACTTGTCAGAAGAAGCAACACAGAGGTGAACTGCGCTTCTCAAACAAGCGAGGAAAATGCAAACAAGAGCTCTAAACAGGCAAAACAAAACGAAATACGGATATGATTAAAAATACACTTTGAAATTGTTTTGTTGAGTTTCGAAGTAACACGTTCTCACATTTGCTCCACGACCTTTTGTAACTGTTCTAATACTAGCCACCAATAAAGCAGCTACAGTTTCTATCAAATCGCCAATGTTATGCAGCAAAAACTCAGCCAAAAAAAATAAAAATTAATTAAATATTCCGGATTTAAATATCCGACCTGTTGATAGGGGTCTCATGTCGGCGCATTGGCCCCACGATTGCTTGCTCTAAGGCTGGATCTACCTGCTCTAAAAATTTTATCATATATTGTACTGATACGGAAATGCGTAATTTCAAAATTTCAAAAGGACGTTAATCTAAACCCCAGTGTTTCTCTGCTTAGGTAGGGGATTAACCGGTTATTCAGAAAAAAACTACAGTGAGCTCTTTCAATTGAAGTCTACATCTCAGATTTAGCAGAGTAGTTTTCGAAAAAAATGAATCGCTTTCAAAAATCGATCAAAATTTGAAAAACTTGATTTTTCCCAAATCCATAAACTTTTCTATACTAAACCATGGGAAAAACCTCTGCTTGCCATGCCTTGACTTTTATATTGAAGATTTTCACACCTTGATTTTTAGATTGATCTCTCAATATTAGATTTAGCAAGTAGTTGTTGAGAATTCTGACGAAATTGTTTTAAAAAAATGATTAAAATTCAAAAAAGATTTTTTTCCGCTGTCCACACCAGTTTTTCGAACAAAAAGCAGGATAAAACAGATTACACGAGAAAATCTAAGCATCTTGTTAGTTTAAATGATCTATCAACCTCACCGGCCAGTTAATTGATGAAAAAAATATATTTTCCAAAAAAACGGGCAAAGTTTGAAATGATGGACATTGCCCAAAGGCACAAGTTTTCAAAGCCCAGGACAAAGCCACTCGAGCAAGGACGTTTGGCATAATTGATTTTTTCATTTGGTTAGATCGTTAATCCCTAATTAGGCAGGGTAGTTTTTGAGAAAAATTCGAAATTAAACAAAATGTCAAAAAATGGACTTGTTGGCGGCTATATTTTTTTTCTATCGAATTAAGGGAACAGCCGCTTGAAAAGAAGAGATCCCCTTAATTTGTACTTTTGATCAAAACGTTGATCTCAAACATGTGCAATTATTAAGTGAGAAAACGAAAAAAAAAAACTAAAACAAATAGCCCAAAAATCTCTTGAAGGCCGTAGAAAGTGAGGGAGAATGAAAATAGACAAGCAAAATATGCAGGCAGGCACACAGAGCATTCGGTTTTTCCATTGGACCCATTTCTTCTTGAAATAGGTACAGTAGTTTTTGCACGTCGCAAGAAAAAAAATTCCTTACATGTTCATTATACAAGTTTTTTCTCTAACAGGAGCCAGCACTAGCTTAACATAAAGCAGCAACGTATGCCATTAAGTTATTTATGCTTAAATAAGCTTAAATTTGATTTAACTGAATAATATCAAAACTGCCACCAAATAAGAACTTTTATTTGCGATTTAGGATTTTAAAAAGTCTGCGTAATGTTACACTTCGCTTTAGCTTGTGTAATGAGTCCTGTGAACAGTTTAAACAAAAAGCTCAAAAGAATCAAGTACCTTATTGCAATATCCTTGCTTATCGCAAGGGCGATAAGCTATAGTCAGCATTTTATTAGATAGTGCATTGTCGATAATAACTAAAACTTGGTTGAAAATATTTTAAGACATCTATCAAAATCATTTAAAGCGGATTTAGGGGGAGTGATAACGCTGTTAAAAGGACTGTTTTCTTTTAAATTCCCCTGGGCGCAGAAACTTTGATTTAAAAAGGGTCTTTATTGTTCTGAAGGTCAGCTTGGAAAATCAATTTAGAGAGCTCGGAAAACCAAAAACTGATCGATTTAAGACCAATCTCAACACTGACCAAATTTCACGGTAAAAATTATTAACATTTGCAGACTAAATCATCCCAGTCATAAGATTTACAAAACTAAACAAAATCGCCACGACCTTTTCCACATTGTAAGAGCTAAGATCTAACAGCTTCCTCAGATCTTGTCAAAAACTTACAGCCCCATAACTAAAAAAATCATACCCTCAAAATTTTGAATTAGAAATTTCATCCCCTCTTAAGAAAATATTACGACTCGAAACTGTGCACTGAATAGGAGTACATTTTGGTGTCTGTAGGCCCTTGAATCCACAGACGACTCTTCAAACTTGTTCCAAAATGGAAGTGGAATCTACTTACAAATATTCCGTGTATTCCGCGCTCAAATAAGTGTAGCTTAAATTTTCTGCACATTAGTTTTGTCGCAGAATTCGCAACGATCGATTATAGCTAGTTGTTCTGAATTCCGCAAACGTAGGCGGACTCCACAAATATGAGTGGATTCGTCTTAGATTTTGCGGATTCTGCTAACAATTTGCGCATTCCACTGATAGTTGCGGATTCCGTGGCAGCTTAATTTCACTATGCACATATATTATAGTTTGTTTTTGGATTCCAAAAACTGTTCCGGTTTCCGCAAATTTTGTTAAATACCGAAAAACAGATCTTGGGACGCGAATCACAATCGACTTTGAAATGACTGTCTGAAACGATATTTTAATTGTTCATTGAAACGCTGAAATTCACGTTTGCTATTTCCATTTCTAGCAAAACGTTTGGTGACATGAACAATTTACCCGCAATCAAATTAATAACATACTAGAAAGTTTAATTTTTCAAATACTTTCTCTTTCGAATTCGCAAGAAAGTCAGCGTAATCATCATGTGATAGAACTAAACGTGAAAAAACGCAAAACGTCGTCGACAGAACCACGACAGAAAAATAATGGCTACTTTCATTACTATCTGGTGTAATGGAATTTATAAAGTCACTGTTACTTAACTTGTGCAATTTGATCATCTAATTTATAATTGACACGATATAAAACGAAAAATCTCTATCGTTTAACCAAACGAAAGCATTGTGATGGGAGGTATCGTAAGAACGCAGAGAACTCACCAAGTTGCAGTATCACATAAAAACTTTGACAGCGTTGATTATTTTCTTGTGGTATCGAATGGCCTGACTATGTAAAACTACGATGGTCTACGGCTTCTATATCTAATAATTCATCACAGTAAAACTTGAAAACAGCTTTGCACTTTATCATAAGGGCATTTTCTGACCACATCGTAAAAATGGACACGCCACAGTACCTCGTCTTACACAACGAATAAAAAGCGACAAAAAGTTGGCCACCGACCAAAGAATTAAAACACCTCTCTAAAGCCATATTTTTAGCATAAACAGATTTACAAACGACACCTGATAACAAATAAAATCATGCTTGCCATCAAAATGATGCATACTGACCAATTTTCGATGATTATTTAGCCAGCCGGAGCCCATGCAGGATTCCGGATGTTCAAACTGCCGGACTTCAGATCTGTTGTCTCGCAAAGCAAAGGAATGTTAAAGCTTGGAGCGATTATTTTTCTCAGGAAAAAATGTCTGAACATCATTGCTGACATAGTTTTACCGAAATTAAAGGGATCGCAAAAGATATATTCTGTTAGCTGTTTTGTTTTTCAGCTCCGGAAAAATCCGGCAAGTTATTCCGGATGACAAACTGGGCCGAATCACCAGATCTCGGCACATCAATGCTTAACAATAAAAAAAAAATGAAATTTATCGTTCTTTTGAGATCTTTCTTATGTAGTCAGAGAAAATTTTAAACAAATTTTTTTTTAGAAATTGCAGCTCGAATCAAATGATACCGTAAATCTGGCACTCTTGGCTACGATGCTTCTTTATCCTACTTGATTTTTGGGGGAAAACACCCAAATACAAAATTAATTCTCAAATTTGGCAATCAGAACAATTCCAGATTTGGTATTAAAGTAGTTTTTACACAGAGGCGAAGCTTCGCTTTGCAAACACTTGCGAGAACACGACAAAAAGCAGCTCTATAAAGTGCAATAATAAAAATAAGAAATTATCCTCGAATTAACAAAAATTCGTCTACCTTTGATATCGAACCTGCAACCTAGAGTATACGATTCTCACACACTAACCAACTGCACACGCAAGATTTTACACACACGGAAGCTTAATAGGTACTATTAACAACTCAGTCACAAATAAAGCAGAGAACAGATGCAATGCAACTTCCAATGCTACAGTGAAATTTCCAAATAAGTGAACACTTTTATTTGCGAGTTAGGTTAGAAAAAAGAACGTTCGTAATAACACACTAAGTTGATCGCAAGTGTAAAAAAATACTTGGTGCGTTCTACTCACGTAAAACATTTTTCAACTTCAAATTGAAAATTTGAAGCTATCTGATGAAGACAATCAAATGAAACATAATAAATGAAACGCAGTGTCTTTCAAACTTTGATTCACAAATGTTTGATACAATGGTGTCTTAATAGGCCTCCAGGAGAGCCTAGAAAAAACCATCTTACTCTGCCTAAAATTAACCTGATCCAAAATTTGACAACAATGCCAGATTTGGTATTCCAGATATTAATGCATGTCTTTCCGTAAATTTAGATGGTTGCGCAGCAATATCAACCGGTTACTCAAACGAGTACTCGTAAAACTTAAGCCATGTCTACATAAAAAAGTAATAAATTAAAAAATTTAAATTAGAACTCTTTATCATACTTCATAGGAATCCCACTCAAACCCGGCTCAATTTTACAAACTTCGTTCTGTTCGAGTTTCATTTCGAGTCCCTGCCATGAACGATTTTGCAAAAAGGACGCAGCAGTTTTTGGAACTAAGGAAAATTCTCCTCTTAACGCTACCTGTGAACTCGAATCGCCCTGTGAATGGATTTCGTAATTTTGGTTTTCCTTCAGCAATTGTTCAACTTCACTTGCATGTTTCTTCACGACGTTTGAAAAGTCAAGGTCAAATGATCCATCCCAGGTCGCATTTGGGTTCAAGGCGTAATTAAGTTCGCATACTGACAACACTGGTTTGAAGAACTCGCTGTGATCATTTAAACTAGTCTCGGCGCAAGATATCAGGACAAAAGCCTGAAACACTTGCATCTAATTTAACTTTTATGAGACAATATTTACGCCCAAAAGTATCAAAAAAAAATCTAGCTTCATGGTAAAATGAAGCTTTGTCTATTATTTAAACAACTATAGACTGGTTAAATTTTGGAAACGTTCATTTTACAGCTAATCAAGTCACTATATGGTTCAATTACAAAGGAGAAAATTGAAAAAAAAATAGGCATTTGCAACATTATCGAAAATCTTGACATCTGATAAAAAAAATAAATGGGAATATTTTGGTTCCGAATTTCGAAGAAAGTGCGAAATATTTATGCTTGGGTGATTTTTTATTTAGTGAAATTTCGACCTTTCAACTAAGCATTTTTGACGCAATTTTTTTATACTATCTAAAAGATATTGTTGCCTTGAGCTCACAATTGGAAAGAAATTCTACCTGTGATCATTTTTCGTAAAATTATGGGGCTTAAAAATTGCTAATTAGGCCAATTTGGGATAATTAACGAGCGATAGATTGCAATTCTTTTAACACGCGCAAGCGGCGGATTAATGCGCTCAAATTGAATTGAGCAAATCATTTCATCATATTATTAGGATGCAAGACGCTAAATACATACCTTTGGAGGTTACACAAATTTGTGGGTGTATAAAGCGTAGAAAAAATAACGAAATAAAATTTTGCCTTTTTGTTCCGACTTTCGAAGAAAACGGAATATTTATGCTTGGGGTGGTTTTTTATCTGCCAATTTTCGGCGTCGAAATAAAAGTTTTTAACAAAATTATAGCTTATTGAAGATATCGACTTCCTGAGTTCTAATAGGAAAAAAAAGATATTTTACCTCCAATTATGCTTTGCTGTGAGCGTGTCATAATGTTGTGAGCGTGTCATATTGCTGTGAGCGTAACGCTAATTTTTTATACGTGGCGAGATATCCCGCACAAAATCGTTCCAAATTTGAATGGAGGCTAGCTAATCGGTTGTATCTATTTCGTACGACTCAAATTTTTACACTTGATCTTTGATAGTCCAAAATTTATAGATTTTCAATATTTATTTTTCTTAAAATTATTCGATATGAATTAAGGGACAGCCAGAACATTCAGATTTGTCCTGATATACGAGCAGTCTTGTTATATTTATTATTTCGTTTTTTTTTAAATTTCTAAAGTGGCCTTGAAATGCAGTCGTAACATTCAGTCGAATTGATATACGAGCAGTCTTGTTTAACTAAGACTGGCATCGTACGCTAATGAACCACTCTTGTGAAAATTTTTTGCTTCTAATACTTTCCTCCGCAGCATCACATATTTTCAAGGTTTTCTCTGTAACAATTTCAAACTCATTTTCGCCTTTATATCAAGCAACACTCTCATAAGAAATAAGACTGCTCGTATACCAGGTCGAAGCAGCGATTGTTCCGACCGCACTTGAGGGCCAACATGAAATGATGAAAAATTAATTGAAAAGGAAAAAAACTATCCTTTTTTCTTAAATATATTCCCCCGCACGCTATGTAAAATACAAAGGGTGTGTTTAGTGTCTGGTATTGATTTTAATTGCATTACATTGCTGACCTCAATTCAATTTGGAACGCATTAACTCGCCTCTTACCCGTTTCATAAGAACGCAATATATCGCACGTTGATTATCCTAAATTAGCAATTTTCAAACCCCCGCAACTTTACAAATAACAATCACAGTGAAAATATTTTTTAAAATTGAAGCTCAAGATAACAATATCTTTCAGGTGCTATAGAAAAAAAATCCGTCAAAAATGCTTGATTAACAAGTCAAAAATTGACTGAACAAAAAAAACACACCAAGCATAAATATTCCTCACTTTCTTCGATAGTCCCATTTAATCCCAGTTATTTTTTAAATCAGATTTTCGATTATGTTGCAAATGCGTATTTTAATTTCAATTATATCCTTTGGAATTAAACAACAAAGTGTTTTGATAAGCTTTGAAATGAGCGCTTCCAAAATTTAACCATGGTATTTTACGTCTATTTAAGCTTCATTTTACATTTCTTTTAACACAAAGATCCAAATGAAGTTCTTGTCAAAAAATCGCAACTTACATCAATCTCAGCAAAATTGGCGAGTTTTGCCACATTTATTTTTCCGACCACAAATGTGTAGCTCTTCTTGCCTGCCAGTCTGACTAGGTTGCGACTGAAGTCGATGGCTTCTCTGTACCCTCTAACCGACAGTGTGCCAATCAGAATTCCAATTATGTCTGCTTCCTGCGATCGATCAAATCAGAATGCCAATGATCTTAACTAATGATCAGAAAACTTATTACCTTAACCGATTCAAGAACTTGAGAAAAGTAATTGGACTATTTTATCTTCTAAGACAAAAAACTAAATCATAAATTTCAAACTTGAATGGAAAAATTCATTTTTTTTCCTGTAAGTCGCAATTTTTTTGACACTTGTCACGTCAAAACACTGAAAAGAATAAACTAAACAATAATTGGTTTAAATTAGACTCTTTTTCTTAGCATGAAAAGCAAAAGTTACTGATCACACCATGAAAGAATTTCAAGTTACGACTTCCAAAAATTGAGAACTTTTTCTAAAAAAAAAAACAGTGTTAACAATTTGAGTTGTTTGTAAATGTAACAATTCGTCACATTGTTCTCTTTACCTTTGCTCTCTCAATAAGGTGTGACCTCCTCGTTGACAATTTTCGAACAATCGACATACAAGTAATTTCTTTAGAAGTCGCGGGGTCAAATGCATACAACGTAGAAGACACAAAATACTTCAAACACACAAGATGCAGTAACCTATCTTCTGAGCCTCCAAAATAAACGATATTCTTAATCAAATTTTGAGACTCGCCAAATTTTCGACCGAAATCAAGTCCGTCACTTTTGCAAGAAGGTTTCATGAGTCGGTTGGTTTTTCCGAAATCGATGTCGAGATCTGATAGTTCGGCTGCGTGAATAGTTAAGTCCGATAAAGAGAAGTCGAAATCATCCGAAAAGTAAACGCATGTTTTTTCTCCGGGATTAACTAAAAATTAGATAAATGATGATCATTTTTTGTATGGCTGTAAAATTGAATTTGAACAGGCTTCTAGGTTTTTCATTGGAGAGAAAAAATTAAGACCTAAAAATGTGATAATTTTGCTCATTTACTAATACATGAAATCAAGACCTAACAATGTGATAATTTTGCTCAATTACTAATACATAATTGGGATTTCTCCAACATTAATTGAAACGGCTACTCGCTATTAAAAATCGCTATTAAACGCCAATCGCTATTAAAAATTGACTGATAATTATTTTGTCATACAAAACTATGTAATTTTTGAAATTTTAGATAAAGTTGGTCTCGAGTGCCCTATGAAATCAATTTACAGCAAAAAAAAATATCCGATACCGACAATTAGAGTATTTATCAGCTTATCTACGGAAATTTTAAAGACACCCCTTGTATCATCGTCTTATCGAGAATAGATTTTTCTGCCATTAATAGTTCGCTCTTTTTTGCTGCCTCTATAAAAATGAGGCATTATTTCCCTTAACATTACAATGACTCCCATTTTCATAACCAATTTGACAATAAAATTATAAACTCTTAACAACTAACTCTTGTTCACAAGAAATTCAGCACATCTCTTTTTTCTAACTGAATCGTCGTCCAGCTTACTTGACCCAGACACCATAGTATGATAAGAAGGTATGATAAGTGTGGGGTAAATTGAGGGAGCACTGTAACAGCAGTGACCGAAGTGAACAATCAAGTCGCATGCCACTACGTGGGCAGCTGTGATCTCATCCACACAACACTCGCTGTAGTTGTTGTCTGCCAGAACCTAAACAAACAGCTATTTCAGTGATTAAAGTGAACTAAGAAACAAACCATCGGAAAGGAAAAGCCTCGAGGAATAAAATCAAGGGTCACGTGGACTATTTAGGGGGATATTGTTCTCACATGGGCGATATCAATTTATGACATTTTATCCATGAGGAAACCCAATATTTGGATGATCGTTCAACTCTTTACAGAGAACCTTTTTTGTACCCCTAGTTAAGAGTTACATGCAATTTTTTGGCTAGTTTTCTGATCTGTGGGTAATGTTGTTTCAACTTCAAGCAACGAGCAGCGATCATGGTGGGCATCGAGCCACTGACAGTTTGATTGAGAGGCGGAGACTTGGCCACGTCGCCATCGCTTCTCAAATCAAGAATTTTGTTGACTTCATCAATTTGAATAGAGTAATCATAGAGGAAACTGCAATACAGGAAGGAACCTAGGAAGACAAAGTATCCCATACAAAAGTAACCCGTTCGAAAATAACCCTTTCCAATATATCCCTATAAACAATAACCCAGAACATTATAGCCCGTCAATTAAAATATCCCGCATTTGACTTTCAAAGGATTAAAAACTTTAAATGATATAACTATCTAGTATTGGTGCTTATCTATTGATTGTAATGGAAATGAGTTTCAATTCAGCTGTCTCAATTAATTTGAGACGCCACATAGAAACAATTCTTATCGTAAATAACTATTAACCAAAGATTGGATTTTGTTTTTCGATAACGCTACTGGGAAAACTGAATGAGTAAACCTTTGAGTCTACAAAATGTCTTATGTCTTAAAAGACGCACGCCAATATTGAGTCTACATAATTGCTAAATGGCGCCAGCCAATTATGACAAATTAACAGTATTAGTCAATTTGAAGAAAAAAAACAAATTTTCCAATTAGGATGCCTCAATTTATAGAGCGGACGCATTTTAGCTAGTATACGAAAAAAATCTTGAAAAGCATCCGACCCTAGCCAGGTTCGAACCCTCGTATTTTGTTGCAGGTTTCCTTCCCTACCTCTACACTACAGATACATGATACCTTGAAGCTAAAGAGCTATTTGTAATATAATATAATGTAATATCCTTAGCATTGGCTGTACTTAATTGCTGGCTATTGATCAAAATGAACACATTTTGTCGCAATAAAATTTGCGTCGCAACAATATTTGCGACTTAGGTTGGAAAAAGACAGAGTTCATACTATCACACAAGCTTTGCTTGTGTAATGAGGAAACAATCAAGTCATATCATAACAATCACAGCACTATTACAATTAATATCCAAATGACAGATTTTATCTACGGCAAAACTCAACGAAGCAAAACACTGTTCATCTTGGTTGGATATGAATTCACTAAAACCTATCAGACATTGGCGTAATGCAAAATGGCGTTCCCATAAAAGCCAAATGACACATTAGTTGCTACGAAATTGTTATTTCTTTCAACCACTAACACAGCCATGAGTTCATCCACGGCCGTGTAGAGGCAAGGCAATCAGTTGGCCCGCTCAAAAAAAAACAGGCAAACTCAAATAAATCCTGTAACCAGCAGTTAATAACAGCTAGCCTTAAGACAGTGAACGATAATCCGCCGATTCATCTTTCATTTTTCTCGCGTGCATTTTCAATCAAATTATTCTTTAGTTTAATAAGCAACTTAAGAGCTATTCGGCTTTTTCCCGAAACGCTATTGTGCTCACATTAGGATTCTCTTTTTGGCTGACCTGAACAACCACATCTTGATATTTCAGTCCACTTTCCAATCCGAGAACCCATTGCCTAGCATGTTTCAGCAGATGAGACGGAATTTGCAAGGCCACATTTTTGGCACCAATCTTCGTAATCTCTTCCAAGACCAGATCAACCTGAATTAATTTATTATCAAAAAAGGAAAATAGCCTGTACGTGAAATTGTTTTTTAATCAATTTTACCGTAAAATTGCTCAAAAATCAGTGAATGCTTTCCTTCTGACAATTCAAGTAATGCTCGGAATTCATTTCAATTAGCTCTAGATCCTTATTCTTTAACTTAAGTGGAGGAAAAAATTCGAGTGACATTTATACGTCATCTCCTTTCGCGAGAAGCTTAGATCCAACCCCAGATGGTGTCCGTGTAAAACTATTCAATCGAATTAATAACTTCTAGTACCTCAGCTCCTTGCATGATTCTTAAAGCGGGGTTGTTTCTTTAAGTCAGCTTGGCTCTTTTATTGTGGCTGTACCAGCAGTATGCTCTGGTCAGTTAACTCAGTTCAAAGGCCAGTTCCAGTTAGCAGTTGAGTTTGTAACTTGTACTCATAAAGGGTTATCTGAAACGACATAACAAGACATTAAGACAAAACAGGGCAATCAGCTACAATTTGAGACTAGTCGCCGAATTATTCTTACACGACATTCTGTAGTTACCTCATATCAGATCTCGAAAAAGCCTCCCTACTAAACTCCAAACCGAACAAGTTTCATACCATTACGAAAAACAAAAAATAAACTCTCATTCAACATTGAATCAAAAATATTAGTTTACCCCCAACTAAATAAAAATATACCTCAAATATCCTTAAAAAAGTGCAAAATTTTGAGCAACTCAATTTAATTTATTTACGATTCTACAATGAACAAAAGGCGCGGAAAACTATTCAGCTACGAACATAATTTGTTAAGGTTATACTTAATATTTCAAAAAATTAGGCTTGCAACGCATTCGGTCAAGATACATTGCTGGTTGGTAAGTTCAGCTAGTGTTCATAATTGGTGTATTACTGTATTGTACACATAGTGGCATGGTAATTTGGGACGATCAAAGGCATGTGCTGAAATTAATTGGCAAATGTCCTGTCACAGTCACTCGATCACAGCAGAAGATAAAGAGTACTTCTTTTCTGATTTTCTCGGTCTGCTACAAAAGACACAGACTTGGGCGCCCCTGAGGCCCCTCACAGGCACGTACTGCAGTTGAGTCGAGCCCTGTTATCTAATTTGCAGGCAGAAAAACGACTTCTCATACCTAGTCAGTGTGAACGAAACGAAGGAAACTGAAGTCAACTTGGCTACAAATCAGTTTATAATTGGTTTAGCTTAAGTAAAGTTTTTCTCGTTTTTAGCTCTTGAATGTTTTAGTTTTTAGCTCTAGTTTCACAACTAAACACATGCAAGCGCAGCTCGCTGTTTACATAAAAAAGATTTCTATCCATCCAAATCTCAAAGCGATGCATCCTTAGACACTGCGTAAAAAATATGATGAATAAAAAAAACAAGAGAATGTAAAAAAAACACATCTGAATTCCACATTTGACCGAAGAAGTCCATGAATTACCTCTATGCTGACAATCTTTCATAAAATAGTTAAACTAACAATCTTTGATAAACAAACCAGTTTTTATCTGAACACGTGACGTGACGTAAATTTGACGAAATTCGAAAACAGGAAAAATCAATACCCAGGATTAAAACTTCTACTTAAAAAAAGAATTCAGAAAAGGTTTTAATCATTTGAGAAAAAATATGTTTTCAAACAATTTGTGGCATGGGTTCAAGTGAAGTCAGCTGTGTAGACAAAAAGTCACTGCGTGGGTAGTTTTGACTGATGGATAGATTTTGTAGTCAGTGTATGGCAAAGCAGCGAGTGGTAGCAATTGCAGGGGAGAAACAAGATTAATTTCTTGAAAGAAAAAGAGCCAAGGTAATTTGATAGGTTCGTCATAACATAAAGATGTCAGTATTAAAACTTTTAAGTCGGTAAAGGTAAAATCGGTAAAATTGTCGGTAAAGGACAACTTGAGCCGCATGAACTCGCCAACGTTAACGCTTTAAAAGTTGGAAACATACCGAGCTTAATTATCTCAAATTGGCAGCTTTCAAACCATAACTTCATGAAGCCTTATCGCAGTTTAAAAATTTTTTTATTCGTTGCAGCTGAGGGAAATTAAATTTTTTAGACGGCATAGAAAAAGACATCATTGGTAAAAGAGTGAACAAGAATTCAAACTGAACTTTCTTCAAAGTATTTCAAAGGACGGCACAATCCAGCCATTCTCCAACTTAGTAATGACTTATAAGCGCTTTTATGACGAACCAGGCGAAGGAATCAAGAAATCTCATTTGTCAAATTAGAACAAGCCGGAAAAATCGGTAGGGCGACAATTCGTAACAGGCGACAATTCGTAACAATACATAGTTAAGTAGAATACGCTTGCCCAGCTGCGCTTACATCCGGCACGAGAGGAATACTGCGCGTGTTCCCCGCTTAATCTACTGTTACGAATTGTCGCTTGTTACGAATTGTCGCCTGTTACGAATTGTCGCCTGTTACGAATTGTCGTCTCACGAGAGAAATCATCTCGATTTTTTTTGCAATCAGATTTAATCATGAATAGAGAGCCCACAGCAGCTTAATGAAAATGATTATTTTTGAGACACTTTAATGTAGAAAAAAAAACGTGTCACACTCATTCAAATAGAAAGAAAGATAGAGATAGGAAGAAAAATAAATAGGTCGATATGGACAGATTGCTCTTGTTGACAGTATGAACGAGTTTTATGGAGGGGTGCATCAATGTTTTCCTAGCCACTGAAGGACTGGGTACCTTAAACCTTGCTGCTTGATTAAACTCGTACGCGCGCGTATAGTTGAAGGACATATTTTTTACATTTATGCACCTCGCAAATCGAGCGGGAAAACGGTTAAAATTAGCTCTGAAAGGGAAGTGAAAGAAAAAACGGAAAGAAAGAGCCTTAAAAAACGTTTTCTATGTGCCGGAACCGAATTGCCAAACTCGAGATTACGAGTTTCACATTGTTGCATCTGCGCCATAGTTGCTTGAAAACATGCAAACACCAGCAATAAAAAAACCGGATGGAAAAATGCTATAAAATTATCAATTCTACGCAGCGAAAGCGTTAGAGATTTTTCACTGCATCATTAAAAAATAAAATCAAAAGGCGTTTCAATTATTACGAAAAATGCTCGAATCACAAGAAAATTCAGCGCTGGGGCAATTAAGCCGACAAAAATTCAACAGACAAACGATAGTCCGACAACTAATTTTTACTGCTGGAACATTCTCAGCACCCAAGAAGAACAGGTCCTCATTCAAGCCCAGCATGTAGTCCTAGGCATCAGTGTTACTCAACGCTGAAGGTGACCTGATAATAACTCAAGTCACCAAAAGATTCAGGCTTTCCGTTAGACAAGTTATTAGCCTGGAAAGAGTTCCGATTTGATAATTCCAAGCGCTATAGCTACCAGAAGTATAATTGCCATTTTCTCGAGAGCCTGGAAATTTGTTTGACTAGCACGGGAAACTGTAGATGGATTTTTTCGATATGCAAAGCTTCTGGCAATTTTCAATTTATAGCCTCTTTGACCGTTTCTTGACCTAGTAATTTTTCCTTTATGAAACTTGGTTCACACTTTTGAAACCTGGTTGACAAAAATTAAAGCCTGGTGGTAATTACTCAATTTCCAAAAAAATGATCTTCATAAAAAACAATGATATTCGGACAAAATCTGTTTTTATCGGTTGTTGGTGGGTGGGGCTGGGGGTTGGAACGTTGAAGGAACAGGTTTTTATTCGCCTCAAAATACCTGACATACGTTGAAGGAACAGGTTTTTATTCGCCTCAAAATACCTGACAATTTTTTGAGCACCAAAATTTTGCAACCAAAAATAAATACCTACTCCTGCCAAAGATACCTACTCCTGTCGAGGTATCAAAACGACCTCAAAGTTTACTCCAATTGGCGACTACGTAAAAAGCGATCAAGCAAGATCTGTTTTTCTTAACTTCCATCTAAATGGTCAATTAGGAAATACAAACACGTGCATAAATGGCACCCATAACATTTTATACAAACCAGGTGTTAAAGTACACAATTACCAATCAAACACATCTGAACAAAGCCCAGTTCACTCAAAGTTGGCGCCAGGGAGTCTGGGGGAAAATAGGAAAAACAACGTGACAAATTCCTAACAACTTCCCAGGCCAAACAACAACAAGGCTGCCACGGCAAACAAACACCTGCACTTTACACCTCACACTCAAATTGAAAACATCCACTTTTGATAGGGTAAATTTTATAACCAAAATAACATACAAAACTGATTTATTCCATCAAACTAATTTGACTAAGTCTATCATTTATCAAAAATTGAGTCAATTAAATAAAAAGCGATAACATCTAATGCAATCATTCCTGCTTGACGCAAACTGAAGGACTTAAATTGTTACTATGCATGAAATTAGCTGCCGAATTTGCGTACGAGTTTTGGTAAAAATTATTATAGCCATGTGCGTTTCCGAACGGGTCATCCATATATTTATTCATAGACGGGTAATACGCGGCTGTAGGGTTCGATGTGTTTCCCATGGCACCTGAATAGTACATTTTCTGGGCCAGTCCAGGGGGTGAATTTGGGCTAACTTGGAAATATCCAGAGTGATTTTGGTACATCGCTGCTGCAGCGGCTGAAGGCACTGAGGGGTGAAAACCATTTTGAGAGAGCATGGCAGTGAATGTATTAAAACTAGAAGCAGCCGCATCATAGACTCCCGCGATTCCTTTTGCCGACGATGGGAATCCGTGGATCCCGGGATGGGAGGTCATTGCACTTGCTGTTGCCGCGAACTGCGGATGATTCGCTATCGCGGATCCCGTCGACACACTAGCGTGTGAGGGGAAGGAGGGGTGTACGAAATTAAACGCGGCTGCTGTACTTCCAGGGTATCTGTGTTTTGAATTCGGAGAAGAGGGTATACTTGGTGCATATGGGTTGTGAATGAAGGCTGCGGTGTTTGGGTTGTGTCCATGAAGTGTCCCGTGGTGATTTGCACCTGCAGTTGCGTGTGTGATGTAAGCTGCCGCTGTTCTTGAGCTCAATGAAGGAAGAGTGCGGAAAGGTCGTTTCATTCTACGCCTGCGTCTGTAGTTTCCGCCCTGGAAAAGATAATGTAGTAAAATCAAATCTTAGGGTATCTTATTATTCACGGCTCTTTAAATATAGTTGAATTGGCATCATTGCCTACCATTTTGCCAACTTTTGCATTTTTTTATATTCGCTCTGTGCAAGGTAGCCAAAGTTGTGCTATAAGTAGCGAAGTGGTAGAAAACAATCGCAGCAGGCGTAAAAGTCGGCAAGATCAAACAATTTCAGCATTGTTCACGTGTCAAAGTCAATTTTCATGAGAGAGAAATTGAACAGACGTCAAAGCGAGTTTCGATCTTGCTTCGAATCGACTGTTCACAACTTTTAACAGTAATTAACAAGGTAAACAAACAAAGTTGTTTTGATGCCATGTAAAATTAGATCAAGTCGCGAGAGAAGGTTGCTTATCAGAATTGAGTCGACAGCTGAACATTCCTATATCACAGCACGCAATGGAAACGTAACATGTTTTTACTCTAGTTCCAGCCTTTTTCTGTTCTGAGCTCCGCGAGGATTTGATATTAGAGGCAAATTTAATTTGCATTTTACTGTTGCTAGATCCTATTTATGAACCCAAACATAGTCGTCAGTAAGGTTTTGGAAAAACATACAAATACAAAATATCATTTTGAATCCAAACAAGTCTGAGAACCTGAGAAAATCGACTGAATGCATCGGAATGCTAGTGAGATTGTATTTCAATTGTTCCATTAAAAAACAGCTGCTGAAACCAAAAAGTTGACTTGCCAGATCTAGAAATTCTTCGAAAAACACTAAAATATTTGAGTAATAAGAAAACAAATTCGAAAAGATTTTCTAGCAAATAAAAAGTCACGACTACCCAGCTCTTACGTGTTTTGAAATTTATTTCCGTGGTTTTTAACTGCTACCATTTAAAAGTTATGATAGGCCATTAGTAAAAATGGATACAAATCGACTACTTCGCCAGACTCGACATCAAAGAAATTGAATTCTATTCCATTTTGTAAGACAACGAGGCAGTTCTTTCTTGCATGATTGCGTACAGCTCAGCTTACCTCAAACATGTTCTCGTACGCTGGGTCGAGTGACCAGAAGTTTCCCTTCTTTTCTCCCCCACCCTCTCTCGGGATCTTGACGAAGCACTCGTTCAAACTCAGATTGTGTCTAATGCTGTTCTGCCATCCTTTTCTGTTCACGTTGTAGTACGGGAACTTCTGAATCACGATGAGCAAAATAAACATTTCGTAGGGGTTCAATGTCACTTTTACATACGGGAAAGGACAAGCATAGACGTTATTCGTATTATGTTTTTCCAGCAAACATGTTATTCAAATTTTGAAACCGCTATTACCCAAAAGTTAGCAACTTCATTAGCCGTTTTGACACGGGGATAAAACATGGGGGTAAAACAGCGAGACTATTACCCAAGAAAAATGTCCTTTATGAGAAAACTATTAAACTGTCTGGTAGTTTTCTTTTTAGCTGTGGGCAGTACAATATGCCCATCTTAGAAATTCAGAAACTTAACCTAGCTATTTATAGAAAATATGATCAGGTGTTATTCTTTCAATACACAATGATGAGGCGTTTTTCACCCAACTTTCACTTTTTATTAAATGAACTACACTAGAAAAAAGGAAAACAAGCAGGAATTCATCAGAAAGTCAGAAAATTGTTACACAAGGGAGAAAAAAAGACTTTTTAACACATATTCGAAGCGGACCTTCGCAACACTTGCAATACAGTTACAATAGTTTCTCTCACAACTCGATTGTGGCGCCTAAATTAGATCTTTTTGGTCTTTTAGGAAGCCTGGGAAATTTATTTGGTCGAACTAAAAATGTGTTTCACTGCATTGAGTATAAAAAAAAACTACAAGCATGGATTTCTCTCATGGATTATCAATGACCAATTCTATTTTAAAAAAGGCGCAGAGATTTATCATTGATCATTAGGCAGGCCCAATAAACATGAAAACCATCGGCATATGATTCATGGTTCTAATAGAAAGCAACAGTTTTTCGGAAATAAAAGCAATGCACAATGATGTCTATAAAACTTAAAAGAAACCAGCTATTTTGGTTTTAAAACCCTTATTGCATTAACAGCGTCCAACCAATTTTTGAGAAAATTATGTAAAGCTGCAATAACCATATGTAAGTAAAATCGGCAAAAAAAGAGCACTAAAAGCGACATAAAATAAAAATGCAACAAACTGCATAAATCAATTTTAAATTTTACAAGGGTAGCCGGTTACCGTGCAAGTAGCACAGAAAGTTCCGACCGTAGTCTAAAGAACTCCGAAAAAAACTCCGATTTATCTGGGTGAAACCAAGTTTTCACGGCCTAAATTAAGCAAAAAAGGCTATTGTAAGCCTGCTTGCTTGCATTATTCGCCCGAATTTAAAGTAAAATCAAAAATTTTAAACCTCTTTCTTAATACTGGGACAGTTCTTCGTAAACTTTTTAATGTCGTTCGAATCATGACTGAAAGGACTTCAGTATGATACGTCACTCGGCCCATTCCCATAATTAATTGTGGTACCTGATTTTGCGTGGAAAACAAAAAGAAAAAAAAACAAGGATAGCCGGTTACTGTGAAAGTGGCGCAGAAGGTTCCGACCATAGTCTTTAAAAATCTACCAAAAAAAAAATTTGAATTTTGTTTTCAAATGAGTGTAGCTTTTTCTGCGTGGTCTGATAAAAGGATCTGACATAAAACTATAAATAAGGCATAAATGACAGTCATAGTAATATAAGCAAACAGGACAACAGTTTTTGAAGAAAATTGACTAGAAAACCAAAAAAAAAATTTATTTGTTCTGTAGAAACTTTTTTATTAGCAAAATGGCATTAAAAATCTCCAAAAACTAATTTAACTCAAGTAAAATCAAAGGTGAGCACAATCAAGCTATTGTAAACAGACGAAATTAAACATAAATAAGCCTGCTCGCTGGTTTTTGTCGCTCGAAATTAGACGAAAAATCAAAATTTCAAACCGGTTTTTCTCAACACTAGAAAGAAAAATTTGATAATTTTCAAGTGTGATTCGAATCACAACTGAAAGGGCTTTGATATGATATATCACTCAACCCAGTCCAATGATCATTTATGGTATCTGATTTTTCGTGAAAAAGAAAAAAAAGAAAAAAAACTAAAACACACCCGTTCTCTCCATTTTCGATGGCCGGAACAATAAGCATAACAAGCCTGCTTGCTGGCTTTCGTCGCTCCAAATTAGACGAAAACTCGTAAATTTGAAACCGTTTTTTTTTCGACACTAGATTTTGGGATTTTTTAAAATTTGGTTCGAATCACGACTGAAAGGGCTTTTATATGATACACACTCAACTCAGTCCGACGATTATTTGTGGTACCTTATTTTACGTGGAAAACAAAAGACAAAAACAACTAAAACACACACGGATACAAATTTCTCCACATTTTCAATGGTCCGAACAAAAAGCATACTACAGAATTGAACTCGCACCTCCATATCATGAGCCGTTTTCCTGAACAACTTAGCTTTAAAATTTAACCACAGCGCACAATTTTCATTTTCTCGCACGCATAACTTAATCTTGGACTGCATATGGCTAAGAAATCAGAGACAAAACGATAAAGCAAGATCATATAACGTGTAATTGATACTCCTCATTGTACTTAAAATGGGCTACTTTCGCAAGAAAGAAGTGGACTGGCTGTATAACAAAACACTCGACAGATTGCTCGGAAGACAATAGATGCCCTTAAGGCTCCTTGAATTTCTAGAACAATTTACGATTGGCACTTTTTCGATAAAAATTGACCCATTTAAAAAATCTGGATCAATCGATAAGTTCCTGGAAATTAAATTTCACTTGCAAAACTAGAAAACGATCGCCTTTTGTGACCTTTACACTTTTCAATAAGAGAATAAATTGAACTTAGATACAAATCAAAAATCAAACCGCGAAAAAAAGAATTTGAGCCTGAAATAATCGCGACCTATATAAAAACTGATTTATACTCATCGTTTCCTAAACATGCACATATACCCTAGTGCATTTCTTAATACATTAATATGTATAAATGCACTTCTTGTAGTTATTAGAACTTTTTCCTGGAAATAAAAACAAACCAAAAAACTCATTAAGACATATTTAAGATACTTCAATACGCTCATCGAGTTTTAAAAAGCATTTAGCATTTTTTGAAGCACCGAATGAAGCTTCGAGAACTAGTTTGCCGAGTTCTCCGAAGCTTGGTTGACGTTCTCCCAAATGTAAGTGTTTGCAAATACTTCGAAACTTATTTTATTATGATTACTTCTGGATTAACACTAAGTTTTCAGCGGCATTAAAAACTTCCTATTATCACACCTACTGGCTTGAACTTAATAGCAAAAAAAATAGCAAGCAAGTTTTTCTCGTTTGAGAAAATTTGGAATCGGAATTTGAATCGGAATTTTTTATTGGTATCGGAAAACTTTTTCTGTGTCATGACTTCATCAAATTTTAATAATTTTTCATGTAGCTGTTGTTTGCGATAAAAAGTAAGTATGAATTTACTTCAAATAAATAAGGATATTGGTGGGAGCTGATCTCGAGTTTTCCTCTACATTTTGTAATTTAAGTTTTTAGTTTGTCCTGGTCAGTCTTCTTTTTTAAATGTGACCTTTTCGTGCCTTTAGAGAAAATCAGTATGCACAATGCACATGAGGAAACCAAAAAAATCTACATAACGTCACTCAAAATGTATATTATCGCTAAATTTATATGAGCTACGAGAAAAATTAAACTCACCTTGACAATGAACTCGTATATTGCACTTAGAGTCAGCCTCTTATCCTCTGACTCATTAATTGCCATTGCTATCAGGGCCACATAGCTGAATGGAGGCTTCACTGCTGAGTCCACCTCCCAGGGCTCTAATTTCACACTAGCTGGTGAACTTTGACCTTCCGATTTGACCCCTGCTTCTTTTTTACATCCTTTCTCCCCTTCGTCCTTTTTCAACTCTTCGTTATCTTCTGTTATCATTTGGTCCGAATTGTTGTTTTCTTTGTCAATCAAAGATGCTTGTTCCGTGGTATCCAAGATACCATTTTGGGCTTCATTTGAGGCATTCGTCATTTTATCAGTAGCAGGGTCCATTTCTAGGTACGCAGTGTTGTGCTCTTCAGTACTATGTTGTTTGATCGGATTCTGTGGGAACCCTGGATTTTGTTGCATTGGAGGATCAACTTGACTTTCATTGCAATTCGGAGGAGAACTTTCGTTTGGCAGTTGATGACTGTTGAACTCATTATAACTCGACGACTGGAGCTCGGAGAATGTTGAAATTGAAGAGTAAAGCGGGTTAGAAAGCGACGCGTTAAACGCTGGTTGATTCTGCGAGTTAAAGTTAGTCAAGTTATGTAGGTTATTATTAATTATATTGGGGGTTAACTTTAAAACGGCCGAGGAGTTTTCGTTTTCAAAATTTTCAGGATTGTTTGAGGTTGCACTGTGAATATTTTGGGATAATTGGCCCTGTTTTGCATTCTGCAAGGAAAGCATTGTCAATGTTGACATATTTCCCTTTTCATCAATCAATAATTTCAAACTAAATATTTAGAACTGGTGATTTAAGTTTGGAAACAATTCAGTAATCAATACACAGTTTAAATAAACTAGCCAACTTCTTCGAGACTCCTGGATTTTTGATTGACCAATCCGATTTGAGGGTTTAATCGAAAGCGCCATTTGACACTTCCTTCCGGGCGACAAAGATTAAAACTCCGCTTCAAAACGAAATACCCTTCCCTTAATCCGCACTTCAAAAGCGTCAACAGATTAGAATAGATTAAGACTGCACTTGTTTAGTAATTCAGAAGCAAAGTCATAGCTAACTGACTAATTAATTAATGATTTACAATTCATAGAATGCTAATTAAAACAGAATTAACCCTAAGACACGGTTGGTAACTCCAAGAAAGCGAAGCATGTTTCAGAGATTGAGGCGTGCTGGAACTAATGGTTTCTCCTTCAATTTCAGTCAAAACAAATGGCTAATTTCAAAATAGATTGCTAGCAAAACATCAATTTTAAATAAACAAATATGGTTGGTAGTAGTACTTCTAGATGACAAGCAAACACAAAACTGTTCAACGCGGGGACAAATCAACTCTCAATATCACATTACACCATCGATACTGTTCAACTATGAGAAAAATCTTACTGCCGAAAATGTTCGAAAACCTAAATATTTAATTATTGAATTTATCAAAGTTTTTTTTGGGTAGTTTCTAGAAAAAATGAAGACTTCATCGACTTCCTCCAGTATGAGTCTTCAGGTACTCCTGGTACTTTTCGGTCCATTTTTTCCAAGCTTCCATTTGCGAGCCGGCGCCTCCAGCTGCGTACAATTTAGCCATATACTCTTGCCATTCTTTGGTATAATCTTTCTTCGGCTCAGGTACCGGTTCTTTTTTAACCTCTGGCTCTTTCTTGACTGGAGCCGGGTTGTTTGCACTTTTATCCTGCATAGTATCCATAAAAATTTTATAACATTTCAGCCAAGCGTCCTGACTGCTATTGCTACTGCTTCCGCCACTCGAAGCACTACTGGAACTGCCACTGTTGCTCGGCTTGTTTACCGGAGCACTTGGAACAATTGGTGGCGGCATGTTACTCGGCGCCTGTGTCTGAGTCGAACTGGATCCTTGATTATTTCCCGCCATCTTTGAAGCGTACTGCATCCACATTTCAAACATATTTCCACTGGGCATGCTGCTAGTATTAGTGCTTGGAGCACTGTTAGAAGCGTTAGACGCTGTCGGCATCGGAGGGAACCCAGGCCAGGCGGGCATCGACGGAGTGTTGTTGACCGGAGCAGCTGGAGTCACCGGCTGTGATGGCATCTGGGGCATAGGAGGCATGCCCATTGGCATACTAACCGGAGGCGGTTGCATCATAGGAGTCACAGGAGTGTTGCTACTTTGTGGCATTCCTGGAAGTGGGAATGGTGGCATACCAGGCATTCCTGGCGGCGCCATCATCGGCGGAAACCCAGGAGGCATTGCTGGTCTAGGAACGGATTGCTGCATCATTGGAGGAGCCATCATCTGAGGCATCATTGGGGGCATAAAATTATTTGGGGGCATTTGATTAGGCATAGGCATCATGCCCATCGGCATCATTGGCGCCTGGGTCTGCATCTGCTGCTGCTGGTTATGATTCATATTCATCTGATTGCCTCCAAAAACTTCAGTTTTGATCACCTTCGTCCGACAGCTCTCATCAATATCTGGACTGCGACTTCGATTACTTGGGTTGCGTTTGCGGTCATTGAAACTGCTATTGAAACTACTGTTACTGCTGTTGCTGTGACGACTGTTTCGACTATCGTCTCTGCTATCGTACCCTCGGCTGAAAGATCGGTTACTCGAATGATCCCTCGAACCGAGTCTATCCTTCGCTGATCCCCCGGAAGACGATCCAATGCCTCCGTAGTAGTTCGAATTCGAGTCCCTGTTTGGAGTCCCGACACTGTCCGGTTTCTTCGCAGCTTCGTTTACGAGGTCTTGTGCTTCTTCGATTGACTGCATAGAAGTCGATGATAGAATGAAGACAACTCTTCCATTTTTGGAGTTGACGTTGTTCTTATCCATCTCAATTTTGGCACCGCTTTCTTGCATCATTCGTTTGATATTCGCACCCCCTAAAATATGCAAACAATACTTTGAAAATTAATTTAGAACAGTAGATATTTAATCTTCATGCGATATTCATTAATTGAAGTAGCTAGGTTCAACTTACTCGAGCACAACCTTGCCTGACAAACACTAAATAAAAAAATCCTTTTTGCATACCACGCTATTGAAGCCTTAATTTTTTTTCTCTCTTTATTATTTCTCTTGTTCTTCAACTTTCAGTTTGTGCCGTAAAATGGACCTAAAACAAAGAATTAACCTCTGCCGATGATTCGTCCCACTGCTTTCTCATGAACAGTCATGTGTACTTCATGCTTGTACGTCTTCGCTCCACTGGTATCACTTTTCCCCGCGTCTCCTCCCGAGGAACTCTTAGAACCCCCAGATCCCCTCGCTTTATCTTTGGCTTCCACTGCAGCTACCAAATCCAGCACTTTCTGGGCCGCATTCTGATACTTGTTCGCCTCTCCTAGGATCTGACACACCCTGTATGTGCCCTCCGGATTCTGGTCCGGTTTGATCTGGATACGGACGCCATACTCGTCTTGCAGTTTGTTAATAGTAGCACCTCTATTGCCGATAATCATACCGACGGCAAACTTAGGAACATGTAAATCAACAAAAGAAGGAGCACCGCCCTCGTTAATTAAATGCAGCACCATTTCTTTTGCTTTTAAAACACACTCCCGCTCTCCCACTATGCGAAGGGGTTTATCCGCACCTGTATTTTGAGCAGAGTCCTGCACTAGGTTCATTTTCGTCTTACTTTCCGCCATCATTTGCTTAACTGTACTGCCCGCTGTGCCGATTACCATGCCGGCTTTGCCTTTGAACACAACACAAAATCACATCACAAAAAATCAAAACCAAAGAGACACACACACGAATGAATTGGTTTGAGTGATATCAGACCCCTCGATGTGACGTGACAAGGTTCACTGTACAGGCTATAGGTATCTTACATTTAAACAATTTACAAACTCAAGTCGAACACGAATTGTTTATGGTGGCATAATTTATCGACAACGGAAACTTTGAAAATACGAATTTCTTTAATTAGCTCAGACGACCAGAAAAAGGAAGTAAAACTGGCTATGCAATACAAGCGAATTGCCGCCATTACTATATACACTTTAGACCCAGGTATGAGGTCTTGTCTTTAATATAAACAAATATCACCAATCGAGATTTTCATTTTACTTTGAAAAAAATATCGAGAACAATTGGATCTGGAGTTGTTGCCAATGGATCAAATTAAGGGTAGCAAGTCACAGACTCGAAAGCCTGTTGAATTCACTATTCTCAAAATTCATCTGGAAATTCTAGTGGGGAGCAGGAAAAATTGTTGTCAAGAATTAAACTGCAAACGTTTGCTTAACATATCTATATAGGTTTGTCAATAAAATCATTATCAGATAAAAACGAAAGCTAAAATTATGATGAGACTTATATATGAGAGAAAATATCCGAAAATAATTGGAAAAGAAAAACCAAGTTCTAAATATGACTAAAAATTAAAGTACACGACGTTTTCAGTTAATGAATAAAATGACAGATGCTTGATGGAAAAGAGCATTATACTCCAGAAAATCAATTTTTGAACGCCTTTGTCAAATGAAAGTCCATTATATATTAGGATATCATAGCTAGGTAAATATTTTTATAGCAATTTCTGCAAATATTCGAATGATTGCGAAGGTTTAGCTTGATAGGATTTAATGAACCTTATGAAAATTCTCCGAAAAATGATTGCAAATCAAATTACACTCAATAGAAATGACATGAATTTCTTAATTTCTCACAATAAAAGATTTTTGCACCTTCTTTTGGTCGGTTTACGGGTCAAATCATTTTTTATAATCGTTTAAAATGTTTGAATTGTACAATTTTAGGAATCCTCCAAGACTATACGACTAATGTGCACGAAAATTCAGCCTTGTTAATGCGCATCTAAAGATAAGCTTGCGCACACAGCCCCATGGGTTATTGATATTCACATTATTTAAACGCGTTATTTAAGCTCCGAAAAAAAACTCGCGGCGGGATCCAATTCGACTCCTAAGAACCCATTCATTCGTCGCTCCTGATTCTGAAGTGCCTTTCATTCAGTCGTCTCGTGAGCCGACAAGACAACACGACAAACAGTCGTTCCGAATCAACCACATTGATTCTCACCTCAAACGTCAACACGCATCAGTAAGTTAACATAGGTTGATTGGAAACAGCAAGAAATCCGCACATTCGATATTTATTTAAGATAACAATCAAGCCATCAATTTTTTTTCCGGAAATAGCTAAACGTTATGAGTTTTTTCAGAAACTATCTAAATGTATTTTTCTAATTAAACTTGATTGATTGAACTACTTGCAACTTTTTACAAAAAAAAAACGACTTTCGGAACTTAATTCATGTAACACTTCTCATACCTCCTGGTACAATGACGTAACAACTAAAACTTCCATCCTCGTTTTCCAAAATGCCGTCGGGAGGCATAGAAACATCAGGCCCGATACTGTTGTCATCGTTGTTCATAATTGCAATACTCGTTTTTGAAGCCGAACTCTTATGTCTGGAAGATGAGGGATTCAGGAAATCCTCGTCGTTATTATCTGACTCTTGAAGCAACTTATGAAAGTCATCGTCTTCAAGCGCATTGTTTCCGGTCGAGTCAAACGAACTTGCATTCGGATCCGACTGACCAGTAGTAGGTTTCGATTGTTCCGAGGTTGTTTTAGTCGGGATGTCCGACACGACATCAGCGTCAATTTCGGCGTCGTCTTCTGAAGCACGAATCGCCATTAGCTCCTTTTCAAAATCGATTTCATCCATATTTTGTAACTGGGATACTGGTTTCTGATCTGAAAGGTTGCCCAAGTCTAGAACAGAACTCTCCGAAGTAGCGGAGTCCATAATGGGTTCCGCTGCTGCCGCATTGGAGAAATCAGACATTGTGATCTTAAAAAAAATAAAGTTTAAACTTCAATTTTAGGTACTCTCAACTCGCATCAGGTATTTCTGGTGCCTTCATTTATTTTCGATCTTTATCTTTCAAAGAAAAACAAGGGCAACTCAATCAATTTTTCAAAATATATTTTAGAAAAACAAAGCACATCAAATCAAGATTTGTGAAGATATAATTTTAAAACAAAAACTATCGTCAAAATATCTATCGTGCATCGAACACCACAAGACGTCTCGTTCGTTTTTTGTACATGATTCTGTATCCACACTCCCGACACCTGATTGGATCTCTGGCTTTGATCTCGTTTTCAGAGTGACATTCTCCGCAGATATAGATCATCGGCTGAGGTGCTCTGGAAGCTGCTCCAGTGTCTGCTTGAGATGAAGCACCTGGAGTTTGACTGCCGTGTGCCGGCGTGAACGACATTCAACTATCTGAAGGAAACCAAGAAGCAATTAAATGTGATCAATAATGGATGGTCGCGAGCAAAGCAATCTTCAAATATCAATCATGCTCATACTCATACTGGTATTCTACTTTCAAACATGTTCAGCAAACATGGATTCAAGTTCAGCAAAGAACTTTGCATTCCAGAACCACCATCGCGGTCATGGTTTACTATAACTGTCTACAACAAAATTATCCCGATACAATTTCTATTTTTGTTTCGTTCGGACCATTGAAAATGGGGAGGAACTAAGTATAGAGCAGCCGTGGCCAAGTGTGGCGAGGCACGCGTTTCTCAACACGAGGGTCGTGTGTTCAAAAACCACATGGTTGGAGGGTCCCCAGAGTCAACCGCCTCCTCAAGGTGAGACCGGCTGCGGCAAAATGGATGAAATCAACCTCCCCCATGGTTGGTCCTGCATTGAGCATGACCGGGGTCTAATAATAAAAAGGTACTTTTAAGTTTTTTGTTTTTATTCCACGCAAAATCAGGTACCATAAATAATCATTGGAATGGGTAGAGTGATATACCAAAATGAAGCCCTTTTAGTCATGGGTCGCAAGCTTTCAAACAATTCTTCAAAAATTGAACCAGTGCCGAGAAAAACAGATTCAAAACTTTTAATTTTTAGTTCAATTTCGAGCGAGTGAAGCGATCGAATAACGACCGTTATATAAAAACTTTTTTTATTTGGATTTTCAGCCTTTAAAAAAGTTTATTAAATTATTAATTTTGGATGTTAAATTTAGTGTTTCGTTGGCAATGAGGTTTTTCTAAACATTGACAAAAAAAATTTCGAAGACAAATGTTAAGAATCTGAACAATGTTCATCAAAATTTAGAAACTTAGCCAACAGACAGTTGAAAAAAGCAAATGAGCTCCAATCCAAGAAGCAATAAAATGAGCGAATTAGAAAAACTCAACTTTCAAGAAACACATTCACCTTCAAGCTCTGTGAGTTGTAAGAATCTTTTATGATTTAAACTTTTTTTTTGATGGAGCCAACCCAAATTGGAATCACTAGAATAAAAAGCTATATTTTATTTCACTTGGAATTCTGAAATAGGAAATCGACCCATTTTGAACATAAACCATTGAAAAAATTAAGCTTAAGTAGCTCAAAATTAACAATAATACTGTTTTGGTTGCGTCTCTGAGTAAATCATTTCGAAGAAGAATGACTCAATTCATCCAAACAGCATCTAAGCAAAAACTTCGAACCGTTTTTCTCGACACTAAAAACGATCTAACTGAAAAGACTTTTGTATGATATTTCATTCGACCTTACTTGACTTTTCTTTGTGATATCTGTATGTGCGCGGAAAAAACTGCCGAATCCAAATATCCACCACACCTCTGATGGTCAAAACAACAAATTTGCGCTAGAATTTTCAATTGTAGCATAATAATTGCACAATTTACCCATCAAAAAATCACAATTTAGCAGCAAAAGTATAAATAAAACGGTAATCAAAGCCACGCATCAATAGAATGTGGATCCACGTACTTCTGCCTCAATTTCTCACTACCAAGCGCATTCATCCTCTCCACAACTTCTAACCTTTTCCGAGCTCTGGCTCTCTCACGGTGAACAAACGCTGGTTCTCCAATCAATCTGCCTGCTTTGCGAACCTAAAACAAAACATATTCTACTTCAGCCCAAAAAATACAATCCAGGGATTGCAATATCATATATTAAGCAAAAAGACAGTTGGAAGTTTCAAAGAACTTCAAACACCTGCGAAATTTTCGAATATCGGCCAAATTAAATTTGGAGAATCTTCTAAGATAGACAATTTTTTCGTAAATCAGACTTAAGTAAAGACAACTGAATCAATAATTTCTAAAATCCAGTAAAAGTGTTAAAATTAAATCCTCTTTAAATTAATTATGCGCCATTTGCATTTACGAAATTGGAGAGCGCAGTTTGCCTTCCTATCAGCAAATAAATTTAATTGAAAAGAAATCATAAGTCAAACCCTCAAAAACCAATTTTGAGCGTGAACAAATTTCAAGATCTTTCCTGAAAAACAACAGACCCCAAATAAATGTCTTCGCTTCGTTCAGTGACACCGAAAAATCAAGTTACCTGAAAAAACTGAATGAGTAAACTTTGAGTCTACAAAATTTCTTTGAGTCTACAAAATTTTTTATGTGACCCAGGCCAATTATTACGCATTAGCAGTACCAGTCAATTTGAAAAACAAAAATTTACATGCCTCACATTAAAAACAAAAACTAAACATTGAAAAATAAAAAATAACATGCCTCAATTTATAGAGCAGTCTATGAAGCAATAATAACAATAAAAAAGTAGATGTAACAAAAATGAAATGATTTTTTTTAAGTTGAGAGTTTTTGTAAAAATCATTTCCCCACACGCCATATTAAGTACAAATGACAAATTTCACTCCTAGTAACAAATCAATTTTGGCAAATAAGCTTCCTTCAACCAATTTGGAACGATTTCTTTGACGGAATAAATCTCCGCTTACGCGTTAATAGCGCGAAATATATCGCGCGTTAATTATCCAAAATTGGTCAAAATGGCTACTTTTAAGCCCCCATAACTTTACGAAAAATGAACACAGGTGAAATACCACCCCGAGCACAAATATTCTATTACTTTCGTTACGAAAGTCGGAACAATAATAGTATGTGTTAAAATCCTTAGCATTAGCTGTACTTAATAACTGGTTATTGATCAAAATGAGCTCTTTCAAAATCAACACATTTTATCGGAACAATATTTGCGACTTAGGTTGGAAAGAAAAGAAAGTTCATACTTTAACACAAGCATTGAAGGTGTAACAACTAGATGATTAAAAAGATTTTTATTCCCGCTCGGAAATCTGAAAAGAAATCAAGTCAAACCGGGAGAAATCAAATTTGAGTTTGAAACAAAAAAAAACATCACGACCTATATAGTCTGAACGACATTCATACTCTTAAAAATACTAGCGGAGAAGTAAAAAGTAAGCAAATCATACTGACAAGCCAAGTAATTTTTAGCGAGCTCAAAGTCTACTTTTTTCAGCAGCGCCAGTGGTGTCCATTAAAAAAAAAACAATTTAAATTAATTCAAATTTTCATTTATATTTCAATTTATTTTAATGTGAACTTATGAGCCTACTCAATTTAAATGAAAAATTTTAATTTAAGTCGAGCAACTTAAGCTGAAAAAAAAATTAAATTATTCGGCGGTATTCGATCCGATGCCAAAATACAGAGTTTACTCATAATTAATTTCACATTTCGGAGTTCCGCGGAAAAGCAAACGATCTACTTTTTCACGACAAATTTGATGAAATTTTGTAGCAAACAGATTTGCCCAAAAAATTGCTTTGGAATTCTTTTCACAAAATTGCGAAAAGTCCCTAAAATTGACAGAAAAACTGCTAAAAACAGACTGAAGAAAAATTTAAATAGTTTGGGAACTTAATGCCAACAAGTTTTAATAATTTTCTTAAATTTTAATTTAAATTTCTATTCTTTTAAACGGAGATCACTGAGCAGCGCACCTGGTTTCTGACAATTTCTTCAGCCTCCGAGGGGTGTCGATGCCTACGCTTGCTGATTCCTTCACACAGCGCTCGGTGAATATCTTTATGGTATGTAAAGCGATGTAAGATGTTCAGCACTTCAAGGAAATTCAGGGGTTTCGAGGCTATTACTCTTGCATTGTCTGACAAGGGAAACTTGGCACACCTAGCAACAAAACATCTTAAATCAGGAACAATCAAAGAGGAATGTGAATATAATTAAACCACCAGAGCAAGAATCGAACATCTATCTGGCGCCGCATCTCTTAAATGTCATTAAAGTATCCTCAAGATAAAAGAAAACCAAATTAATTATGCTGATAGGATTATTTTTTAACTTGTGCTTTTGCTTGGAAACATTATTTCAGAAACTAGTTCATATATCAGGCTATAATTATTTTTGATTTTTTCGTAACTCTTACCTGATCCCGAGCCGCTTGGCATGAATAAGTGATGCATTCTTTTTCAGACTTTTATCCACCATTCCACCTACAACTAGAATGTCATCTGGCTTAAAGTCTTCCAAATCTTCTGTTGCATCTGGACTGAGATAAATCAGCTTTGAGACTGGAAACACTTTAGTGATGGGTGCCGGAGTAGTGGATAGGTTCGTTTTAGTTTGCTCCAAATAGTTCCAGATTACATTTCCAGGTTGGTAGTTTGTCAAGTACAAATGAAAAGGTTCTGGTATTTTCCTAAGAACATCAAACACATGTCTGCGAGCTTGCTGTTCCACCATATCAAGTTGTTTTTTATGTATGTTTCATCGTTGTTTCAATTTCAAAATAAATTACCAAAAATAATTAAGAGCAACCAGTGGCGGATTTCGAGGGACGCCCCCCCCCTCCTGGGGGATTCGACTCCTGACCATCCAAAGATCCTCCTATGGTACTATTTTAAGAATCCATTTTTGAACGACCGACCCGCAAAAAAAAACGATTCGCATGAGGCGCAGAAACTTTGTTCAAACTAGGAAAAATTTTGAAGCAAGATTTCCTGGAACTCTATTAAATGCATCATAAAAACATCATGAAGATTTCCAATTATGGTGAAATTGCTTAAATCACAAGAAAAATCCGTGCTGTGAAAACTAAACCGAAAAATATAAGCGCACAACCATAAGCCAACAATCAGGCCGAAAAATGAACATGTCTTGGTCAAATAAAACCGTGAACCTTTGTATTCCTCGGCAGAGGCGGATCTAGAATTTTCTCGAGGAAGGGGGCGAATTTTAAAAAAATTTTGGAAAATTTCGACCTTTTTTTGGGTCGACCAAAGAGCTCTTCTAGAGCACTAAAAGACGCTATTTTGGCCAAATTTTCTAAGCCGCATGAACATTTTTGAAAAAAAAGGTCAAAAAACAGGTCAAAAAAAGGTTTAAGGCACTTTTTGAAAATTTTTGACAAAGGCCCCCTCAAAGTTAATATATATTGGCGCCAGCGGCGCCTTCAGAAAAATTTTCGGGTCGGTCGGCCAAAAATGAATTTCTTAAAAAGTACCAACGGGGGGACCTTTTGGGTCGGCAGGGGTTTGAATTCCTGAGACGGAGGGAGCGTCCGCGACAGCCCCCCCCCCCCCCCCCCCCCTAAATCCGCCCCTGCTTCTCGGTATGGAACTTACATACGCATCAAAATAACATGCTGAATTTGATTTCATATATTAACCAGAAAAAATGTCTATATTACGATTTGATATCGCTTGTTAATCGTAAGCATAATTAGGACGTCAAACAGAACCTCGAAATCTTCTAATCCAATTTCTATAACCTTGGGAAAAACTTACGATAGGAGATCACTCATGGCTATGATCTGTCTCGCCATTTCCTTCTTCTCATGTATATTCATCAGGTGGTCATATGACATGTCCAGTACAAGTGGGATTCCAGTTCTGGCAGCGGCCGCCAGTTTACTCTCACCCGACATTTTCACATGACGCTGATGGGTTTTGCTGAACGCCCTCAACCACGATTCAGGACTGAACAAACATAACAAAAGAGTGAGCCGCCTTCAAACTAAGTGAATATTTTTTGAACGCAAGTGCACAACGACCAAGAATACTCGTTGAAAATCAAAATGATTCTATTTCATCATCAAGGTCATCAATTACTATTTTAGCCATCTTATTATGTGTTCACGTGTAATTCAACACATATTTCAACTTTGAAAAGCTGTTGCAAGACTTAAGTGAGTGATGATATCAGAAGCTGAATCAATCAATGGAGAGCAGTAGTCGGATGTTCGAGGCCCACCAAGAACTGTGCGCCGCAAAGAACTGCGAGTGCCTCGTATGTTGGCCTTGTTTCTCGTAGATTAATCATCTTAATAGCTACAAAAACGCAGTTAATATTCATGTACGCTTTTTCGTTGTCTTATTTTGCCATAAAATCTGTGTCTCACTAAAACGAACTTAAAGCTTCTGACGTATGTCTATGGACTCCCTTGGTAATAAATACTGTATAGTGGTAGGATCGGAGTGAATGACGATTACAAATAAAAACTACTTTGATAAGATCTCATTGTGACGTCTTACCTTAATCGTTTATGTTTCAGCATGTGGATGTTTTTCTCTCTGCCCAACTATATTTCTAGGGATCTTGTTGAAGCTATATCATTGCTTCATCTGAGGTTATTCGAAATTTTGTAATAAAATAAATGTCAAGCGTCCAAACAAGGGCCGCGTTTTTCAGCACACTGTGCCCAATTAAGCTGCGCTTTTTTGAAGGAATAAATTGAACAAAATAATGCCGCAAATGAAATCATGAACACCAAATTATGGATCTCCAAGCCGAAACTAAGCCGAAAAATAAACCCCTAAGAACGAAACCAGGTTTGAGAAATTAGTGCATTAAGGCGAATATTAAGCTCGTTGCTTACAGTAATAAAATTTCCAGTACCCGATAGTAATAAGACTTTCTCATCACAAGAGCAAACAGGATTTTATCACCAAATGCGTTATTCCACATCTTTGGCGGTGATGAAAGAGCAAAAAATTCATGTTCGAAATCAACAACCAGTAGACTTACAGATCTGGCTTTGATGTTTCTTCAAGCCGCTTGCTCCTCATATTTTTTCTCTCCAACCCGCGCATTTTCTTCCAGTGCGTCTTATACAGAAAGCTCAAGTAGCCCTCCACACTATTGCATGGTTTTTTCACCCGAATAGGATTGTAACTACTGTCTGATTCGTCCAAGTAAAGATGCTCTGGGGCTTTCTGTTCGTCTTGGGCTCTTTCTTCTTCAAATCGCATGTAGTCTTCAAGTTGGGCGATTGACATCTAAATTAGGAAAAAACTTTCCCGATTAACTTTTTCAAAAGTTTTCAAAATCAGAAGTATCATTCATTGTTTTCAAAATCTTATTCAGAAGAATCATTCATTGTTTTCAAAATCAAGATAATTTGTTCAACGTAAAAGAAATGGCTTACTTCTGGAGGTGCCTTGTCTTCGTAGGCATAGTTGATCAATTTCTCCACATATTGGTACACTTTGGCCAAACCTTCATCATTTAAAGTAGGATTCTGTTCTTTGTATACGTCGTACAATGTCTCCAGTTCATAGCGCTCAATCGCTCTTGGCATGGATTCTCTTGAAGATTTAGCTTTGTTTGTAATTTCTAAAAAAAGACTCCATATATAAATTTTAGAGAAGAAACATTGGCCGAAATCAAAATTCGGAATTTTATGGCACTGAATTATCCTTTACGTTTTGCTCCACAAAAGATACTTAAATAACAAGGATAGCCGGTTACTGTGTTATTAACACACAATATTCCGACCATAGTTTTAAAAAATTAGTGTCGTATTTTTTGCGTGTTAAGATAAAAGATCTGACCAAACAAATAGAATAAAAAGATCTTGAACGGCATATTCGACAGTCGTAGTGAAATAGGCAAATGTGACAACAGTTTTTGTTTTAACATTTTGGTAATAATTTATTCATTTTGTTTAATCTGTTGTTTTTCATCAATAGCTAAAATACGTTAAAATTGTACAAGAACTAAGAGGGGTAGTCAGCCAGTCATCATTTTCTCTAATTAAGTCTAAAAATCAACACAGAGGCGAAATCAAATCTTGCGATACAGAAATGTATGACTATGATTACCAGCAAATGAAAAAATAAATCAAAAATTGAAAAAATTCAAAAAAATTGTTTTTTTTTGTAAAAAAAGTTTTTGCCAAAAAATTTTTTTTGTCAAAAAAAATTGCAAAAACGGACAAGAAACTTGGGAGATAAAATTATCTGCACCTTCACAAACTTTAACTTGCACCATTAGAAACTTTAGAAAGAGCTTTCAAAATGCTGAAAAGAAACCTAACTTTTCTGAGGGACCTACGCCGACAAAAATTAGCAGACACGAAATAACAGGTAGTGGCTAAAATCGAACTTATGAGAATCACCGTCTCAAACATGGGTGTTATCACTGCGCCAAATGCACAGAATATTTCTTGAAATTATGAAGAAAATAACTTCCAAAAACTTTTAATGAACAGCATGAGCAAACTTCTTGGATCTCAATTACTTGCCCAAAACCGGAATACACTGATTTTTTGTTTAAATTTGAGTTGAAAAATGCCCAAACTTTATGCAAATTTAGTGCTGCGGCAACTAAGCCAACAAAAAACGGAGACAAACAGAAGTTCGACAAAGATTTTTCGACGCAAGGACAATTTTCCGCTTACAAAAAAAACAGGTCCTGGCCAGATTCGCACCATTGACCTGTGTCTCTATAGGCAGCTGTGTTACCTCTTCGCCGCATGCGCGAATCAACCTCTGAATTACCTCATATGAGCCAAAGGTAAAATTATTCAAGTGATTCTGTTAAAGTAGTTTCGGTTTGATAACACGTGCAAATCGCAAACGAAAAAATGAACATCCAGACCAGATTTTCTCGACACGAGACCAAGTTTCTACGTTTTTTCTTGACATTGCCCATGGGCTTTAATTTGAGATCAGTAGGAAAACTTTTTTAAGGAAAGAAAGTGAAAGAATGCAAGTAAAGAAATGCTCATGCTTTTCATAACTTTTCTAAAACTATCGAGGACCCATACAAGATTTTATAATTGTACTAAATTTTTAAATGAGTGAGCTTATTTGACCCAGGTTTATGATTTTCCTAATACAAACCGCTGAACCGCTACTTAATTTAGATTTAGATCCCGCAAAATCTCTGTGAAAATATACACTTTTTTAACTCAAGCCCTTGGTTTAAGGAACATTTTCCTGATTTTCGTCTGGCAAAAAGGATGTAAAAAAATTTTTCCACGGCCAAATTGTGTAATTCAAAGTGCTTTCAAATACAATATGCAGAAAAATTGGTGTAACACAAACCAGTTTCCCGCCAAAAACTAAAAAGACAGTAAGATCTTACTACAAAACTTGTTGTCGCTAAATGAAATCGCGTAATGCAAGTGTTGCGTCTGATACTTCGCTAAATCAAGAATTGGCGGTCTCAAAACCCTGATTTGAACTAACTTTCAGTCCACAATCGATCAATTTCCGTCTCGTTATCATCTCTTATTTCACTTGAAACTTCTGAGATTCCTTCATTAATGTCAAAACATTCAAGTTGAAGGTCCGCATTTCCTGGAACTCCTGAAGAACTGTAGGTTTTAAAGCCGAGTCGAATTCTGTTGTTTGAAATGCAGAATGCGCATTTCTTTCTAGCTGAATAAGCTCTCAAAACAATACTAGGCTTGCAAGCATTTTTTACAGTAGCGGAAGCCAAGATACCACTTAGCACTGCTTTACATGACATGATAACCTGAAATGAACAAACGATTGAGGAGCGCAGTTTACAAAAACTAAGAGTCAAGCTGAGAAGGATTGCAATTTAACAAGAAAAATCTTTTATTTTAGTAAGTCGCGATGTGACATTTTTGATTCTAATATAGTCCGATTTGAATAAACAAACAGTGGGGAAAAACAAAACTTGATTTTCAATTGATTTAATTTGACTTTCAAGTTGTTCATATCTCCTTCCACTTCGCAATGTCTAGTGAGTACTACAAGTGAACTTTCTTATTTTACTGGAAAAGTTTTCAGAGCGTAAAAATAAATTCACAAGCTACTGAAAAAAGGACTTTGAAGAGTAAATATCAAACACTTCTCGACATCTTAGAGAGCGCTTTAAATCACTTTTGCTTCTTCTTGTCCATCTTCTTCCTGTAGAAGTCCAGCTCCTTTCCTTCCAGAACATAGCCATCAGCTCGTCCGCACTGACCGGGTCGCGAGGAAATACAAGCATACACAAACCCTTGCTTCATGCAATCTTTAACCACCGGGTCTACTTTTGGAATCAGAATCTCCTGGACAATTTTCTTTACTGCTTTCTTTTTAATTGGTTCCTTAGCAGCAGCAGCGGCCTTGGACTTCGAAACTTTCCCGTCTTTTTTCGCTGCTTTCAGTGCTGCTTCCTTCTTGGCCTTCTTAGCCGCTTTCTCAGACTTTCGCTCTTCTGGAGTCTTGACTTTTTTCACTGAAATGTTTTCGACCGTCTCAGCTAGTTCCGCAAAGTCCTTACCCTCTCCTTTTCCGACGCCATATTTCTCCTGGCACCAGGACTTAAAAGCACTCGCGTCAATTTTAACGATGCAGTTCTTCACGATCGTTTTTGTGCGGACCATTTCGTTGTTGGTGGCATTGTACACGACGTCTAGGATCTTCGCTTTTCGAGTGCAATGCTCCGAGGGCCAAGAGAAATTTCCGGTGTCGAGTCGGAGGGCCCGCATCTTGATGTTACCACCTCGCACACGCACTGAAAAAAAAATGTTCAATTATAAACAGGTGAATAAAAATCACATGACGAGCACGAAGAGGCGGCAGATGCTGTGCAAGTATTGAAGAATGTTCTTACTTATTTTCATAAAATTACAATTGCCACTGCTTAAATTTGTGACAGATAATCGTAATGAGAAAACTCTAGTAAAAAAAAACAACTCCCAAAAAGACAACTCGTATAATTTAGCTCCATATGAACTTCTAAACAATAAGTTATTTATTACACGTGAAAATTTACTTGCGGAGAAAAATTAGATCATTTACATTGAGCATTGCCTCGAGAAGGAGATATTGAAGAGAAGGCTTCCCAAACGTATTTTAATTTTTATAAACACTTGTTTAATTTTAATCAAGTTTGAAAAAAAAGAAACGCATGGAAAAACAGTCTCAAAATGCTCCCAATCGATTGCAATATCTGTGGGGACAAACTCTAAATTCTTTGCAGTGTCAACCAAAGAGTAAAGGAACGGACAAAGACGCAAGATTATTCCCGAGCTAATCAAAATCTAATGAGTGTGGTTTTGGAAGTCCTTATAAACCTTAAATTACATCAGTATCGAGGGTAAATAAACGCAGAGAATTTGGAGATGTGCCGAAGACTGTGGGGGTCATTGCAATTCTCATGGAACTTAATTTCCATCTATGGAGAAACAAATCTTTAGCTCAAGGCTCAGTGCCGTGTGATGGATCGTCTTATTGTATTCACAACTAATTCAGAACAGGAAATTTTTGAGCGATACGCAGCTAGGCATGCTGACGGTACGTTACCCCTCGTTATATAAACAAAAAGATACTACGCAAGCTATTATGAACACCTGCTCATTTCATTGTTTAATTCAAATACAAACGCAAAACTCAGCAGCAAGATAATCAAGCATTTAGGTTTCTAGTAGAAACTAACAAAATGTTGGAACCCACGAAGATTTAATTTCGCTTTCAAAACAGTACCCGCACCGTCTGTTAAAGACTGCTTTTTTATTTCGCGCGGGCGAATTGGAAGAATCCAAAAAAAGTAGGACTGGTATTGATTAGAGGGGACAAATGACTACAAACTTTGCATGCCCACGCTCTCATTCGTGATTACGGTTTGAAGCTCGCACTTTAAACTTCACGCCACAACAAGCGAGAACGAACAACGCAATTCACATCTCAATAATTTCCAAGAAAATTGGGTGGGACAAAATATACGTGAAATAGTACGAAAAAATCCTGAATTTAAACCAGCTATATGGAATCAACTTCACAATGCAAAAAGTGGAAACCACGCAACGAACAATTCGATTGGAAGATTGCATGAAGCTGAGCAATAAGGAATGAAAAAAAAACACCTAGATTTATTTGAAAAACGCCAAATATGAATGTCCAAAAAGTCCTACAAATGCAAAGGACATCAGAACTCTTAAACTATCAAAACAATGATACAATTTCTCAGCTGGAAGGTATTTCTTTCAATTTTGATCTGTAATAACTTTACATACGAGAGAATTTTTTTCCTCCTCAAAGTTTTTGATATTTTACCACCTTTTTGCTTCACATTAAGACTAAAGGGTAACATAATTGCCGCTCGAGCTACAGGAGTTGTATTTTGCTGCGAGTTGCCTTTTGTTACGAGTTGCCGCAGCAAAAGGCAACTCGTAAATAAATTACGAGTTGCCTTTTGCTGCGAGATAGTGAGGAAATCGCGAATACTAATACTGTCGGCTAAGGACGTATTAACGTGACAGAAACTTCCGTACCACAGGAATTTGACTACTTCGTGACTCAAAGCAAAGAGTTCTTTCTCTAAGGCAGAACCATTGGTCGCGCAGCAAAATATCCTTATTAGGGCCAAATTGCTATGCGGCAAAACATCCATATTAAAGCCTTATTCGTCGTGATTCAGATTCCTATGCAGTGATTCGGATTGAAAATAAAATTCCGCTAAGAAGAACATCTGCTTTACTTAGATTAGTATAATTTGAAAATTCTGCTCTACTTGCATAGCAACCGCCTATTCTCGTATTTACAAAAACAAATCAAATTATTTATTTTAAAAATTCTGATGCTTGATCTCGTAAATCTACCTGGTCGCACTCGCTCGGGCATGAGTTTAGTCATGGCGGCCGGTCTGCCCAATTCGAACTTCCTCTTCTTGCGCCACTTGTTGAAGCGACCTCCTGTGCTCTTCCTCTTGTGGAACTTGGCTTGAGTGATTCCCATATCTTCAGATGTTCAACTCACTTCTGAAAACACTATCACACTTAAAACATATTTATAACTTCAACATACTACAACCATGAGCTCTTTACATTGATTCTAAACAACCCCCGATAGTGAAAAACCTCTCAAGTAATTATTCTCATTGGCCAATTTATTTCCAGAAATCGTACATGGAAAGCCTGTGAGATCTTCATTAAATTGGGTCATCCATACTGATGCTTGAAAACTGACTCTATATATAAAACTACTGTTCTGGTTCAAACTGAAGTTGGGTAGAGAGATTCTCAGCCTTGTTCAAAAAGTGTTACCAGTGAACATTAATTCAAATCCACACAGAAAAATTACAATTTTAAATTTAATTTACAATAATTACACTATTTACAAATTAATTAAAACACTCATATTAACTGAAATTAGAACCTAAAATACATTGAGCAGTAGTTACTGCAGGGTCAAAAAGAGAAGAGAAGCATATACCATACAATTGATAACTACTGAGCTTAGGTAAGTCTACCAATTATTAGCTGGCGTTGAGCTTGTCGGGAACTCTTCGTTTCTACTCGCTCTTAACGATTGAATATACTGCTCCTCTTCCATCAAATACTGGTCCTCGCTTTGCGCAGAATTCCTCAGATTCTCCAAATCATAATCCATTTGCAACATCTGTTTCATTATTTCAACTTGTTGAACGGAATTTATTTGAGCTGTGAAATCAGCAGGAGTGTTGAACCCTGAGTCGTTCACGTGGGGTCCCATAGCCATGCTATCATTCATTCCATGCATTCCCGAATGTCTGAAATGGTTGTCAAAATCTGCCGATGACTGAGTTCCGAACTGTTTGAAAGCCAGATGCGAAGGAAATGGGTTCAATTCCGCCGAGCTCACAGGTCCAGAACACTTCGAACAAATCAAAGAGTTTTTCTTCGTCTCCAAATTTTTCTGCTCTTGGGCCAAAAGTAGCCTCTCCTGGGCTAAACTCTGTTCTTGTGCTCTCAAAGAGGTCAATTGAGTCTTCAATTGTTGAGTTCTGTGATTATGTTCCAGTTCTATCGCGGTGGCTTTGCTCAAAGCGTTCAACCCCTCGTCTCTAATTTTAGTCGCATCAGCTGTAAGATGATCTAACTGAGATTGCCTACTTCTAATTTCAAATTTAGACTCATCCGCAATCTTTCGTTCCACTTCAATCCGCTTTTTCTCTTGGTCGAAAGCGTTTCGCTCTTTTTCCAAATTATCTCTGTCCATTTTCAACTGTGCCGCAGTCTTAGCTAAGGTTTCATGTTCGTTGGCGATAGCTCGCAATGACCCACTAATTTCAGCTTCTGCTTGAGCAGTTTTAACCGACTCGTGTTTTTCCCGCTCGCTGTAAGATTTGACAGAGGCCTCCAGTTTTGCTCGTTCGATTCCAAGAAGCCGACGCTCCTCGTAAAGCATTGATCTGTTCTCTTTTTGCTCTCGTTCGAAATCGGCTTTAGCTTTATCCAGCCAGCTTCTCTCCTGAGATATTTTATCCAACTGCTGCTGTTGCTGCATTTGTAAGTTCTTCTTTTCTGCCGCCAATCTTGCTTGATCTTGAATCAAATTAAACTTGTCGTTTTCTAAAGTCGAAGCAGTTTCTCGCATGTGCATTTCCATTTTTGTTATCAGCTCTTGAATCTTCTTTCTCTCTCGTTCTGTATCCGCTAACTGTCGTTCTAGCCTTTCTTCTTGAATACGAATTTCGTTTTCTTTCGCTCTTATTTGAAATTCACGTGCATCTAGAGTATTTGCAGATTTATTGCCAAGGTTGGTCGAAATTTCGTTGATCAATTTTGCTTGGCTTTCAACCTGCTCTACAACTACATTAACAGACTGTAGATGAGAAGAAGCCGACTTAATCGCTTCTACTTCCATTTCTTTCTGCTTCTTCACAAACTCCACCTTTTTTTCAAACTCGCTTTTCGACTCTTGGAAGTTTTTTTCCTGGAGAAGCCTCAAACTCTCCAAAGACTGTTGGTGTCTCAATTCCATGTCTTGCGAATTTCGGTCATACCTCGCTATGACCTCCACTCTATCCTTTTCCATGATCTCAATTAAAGACTTGTAATGTTTGCTTAACGCTTCCTTTTCGTCTTTGCTTCGGGACACTTCGTCCTCGTGTAGTTCTTTGAGATGTTTCATTTTTTGTTCATACTTTTGGACCAAATGATTCTTTTCCTCTTCCCACATGATATTTGCATTATTCATTGCCATTTGATTGGTATGATAAGCATGTGCTTGATGTCTAGATGTTCCTTGATTTTGTAACTGTGGCTGACCTGCACTGTCCATTGACGCTGCGAAATTCGGACCTGGTTGCTGCCTTGGCATACTTTCGGGTTGTATTGCAGAATCACCATCAAACAACTGCGCTAAATTTTGGTTAGCATTAGTCTGACGTTTCCTAGTAGCACCTGAAGATGTTCCTCGGCCCCCAAAGAGATCATCTTGGGAACGCGCAGAGGGCAAACTTGTACCTGGAGTTCTTTCCTCTCTTGAACGCAAATTAACATCACCTCCTCCGTCCAAAATTGTATCTCTCGAAGCCTGAGAACCCGCTCCGCTTACGATTGAGAGCCCATCCTCGCTAGGTACTCGACTACGGTCTCGGAAGAGGCCAGAAGCTGCAGGAATTTGCAGCGTCTCGCGAGTAGCCATTTCAGTCTTTGGAGTTTCTGAATGCTCTGCTGCAGATTTAGCGGCAGGTGTAACTGGATCCTGAAATCCATCGCGTTGATTAACCCTTGTTCCGGCCGGAGGTTTTGATGACAGAAGTTGATCTAGAGGAATTTCGTCACCAAACAATGGTTCATTCGTTGATGTTTTTGGCCGCAAATCCAAACCAGAGTCCCCAGGTTTTGGGGTACTTGTACCCGATGGAAACCCAGAGGTAGTTTTTGGTCTTTCGGGACCCTGTCCAGTTGAAGCTCTTCTATTTTTAGCCAAATTGACCCAATCATTCGACGCACTGGTTCTGTTTTCCTCTTTCAGCCACGACCCAAATCCAGCCGATTTCGGTTCCGAGCTAAGACCAAGAATATCTGACATCGCATCGAAATCTTTGCTTGCATTGAGAGCAGGCTTGCTGCCTTTTCGTCCAGATGCTACACTTTCACCGTCTAAGATACTTTCTCCTCCAAACTTCACGGATCCCTGAGCACTGACTCCAGCGTTAATCGCTCGCCGTCCGCGGCTACTTCCGCCAAGCGACGGTTGGTAACCACGTCCCGCTAAAGACTCATTATCATCCTCGTCTGTAACCTTCAAAGTTGGTTTAAGAGAGCTTTTCGGGTCAGGTCTGCGTTCACCTGTAGGCGGTCGCTTAACTGCAACATCAGTCGAATCGTCGATTCCAAGCAAATTATTCATATTGAAACCACTGCTTCCGCTTTTTTGTTCATTTGACTGGCTCGCAGTTTTAGCCGATTGTTCAGTCAGAAGATCAGTAGGATTATCATCACCCCAGTCTATTTCTTTTTCGATTTTGAAAGCCTTTCGTTTACCACCGATAGCAGAAGCAGGTTTAGGCTGTTGCTTGTCTTCGAGAACTAGTGGTTTGATATCCTCCAAATCTTTACTGTCGGAGGGGGTTATGATTTTTGGAGGCGGTGCTGATTCCTCTGTGTTAGTCTGTTCTACATTCTCTGGTATCTTGGATTGTTCTGGTTTCGTTTCTTCGATTAAGTCTAAGAGATCGTCAAAATCGTCATCCATTTGGCTTCTGAAAATTACATTTATTTGATTTCAGTTACCCTATAAAAGTTGCTGTTCGCATTTTTGACTAAAAATGAAAAAAAAAGTGCAACTTAGAGCCCTCCGCTTTGAAAACTTGGATCTCTATTTCTACTTGAAATAAGTACAGATATTATAAAATTAAACTAATCGAAATCTCTCTGATTCAACACAATTTTCTATAAACTAACAAAAACTAAAATGGATATTGCACCTAACGCATTACAAAAATAATTGCCCGGAAATGATACTAAAATTCACTTTCATCTCCAGAGTTGATCCCACTCGGCTGCAGCATGGAGCTTTTCAGACGCCTCTTGTAAAACTTCTCTTCTTCAGCGCGTTTTTGCCTCAATTCATCAATTTCTCTGACCAAGTTTGCGTTCGTTCTAACTAGCACATCATGACTTTCCTGCAGCATAGAAGTGATTTTGTTCATATTATTGACACAATTTACCTGCGATTGAGATCTTTCTAATTGCACTTTTAGAGTCTTGACCTGATCTACTTCGGATAATGGAATCAACTCCGAATTCAAAATGGAAGAGTCCGTTTGACATCCCCATTCTACATAGGCTGATCTAAGTTTCCGAGAAACTTCATTTGATGATTGACGATCTTCATATTTTGGCTGCTTTGAGATGTCGACCAATCTTTTGAGTTCATTGACAATTAGAGGCTGCAGCCGATTTTTAGCTTCCGAAATAGAGATAGAATTTGAGCTGTGATATTCAAATAAGTTAAACAGGTAAGATGCAGTTTTCGAGATTTCATCGCCGTTTACTACCAACGGATTATGAGGACCGTTTGATTGGTTCAATGAGTCCTCAAAGAATATCTGAGAAAGTTTCGGCGATGGTGAGTTATTAACAGATGATTCAGAGTTGTGTACGGAAACAGTTATAGAGTTAGTGGGTGCAGGGCTATTTGTTTCATTAATTCTACGAAGAATTTCAGAGAACCGATCTTGATCATTTGATAATAATTCGCCGTAAAGTTCGCTTCTAGTAGACTCTGAGTTAGCAAGCTTGCGCTCTGGGTATGAAACTAATCTATCATCCAGGATTTCTAAGCAAGGCAACAGCTTGAGAATGGTACCTCGGTAATCCAGCTTACTTACGGGGTTTAGGCGAATGTCCAAAATTTTCAACTGGCTGTTCTTCTGTAACTTTTTAAGTTCATCAATACTAGAAACCAGATTGTAGTATAAAATCAATTCCTCTAATGTACTTAGGGTCTCCAGTCCAGTTAAAGATGATAACGCATTTCGAGACAAATCAAGCTTTCGCAGTCGCGAAAAAATAGATAGAGCGTCATTTAAGGAAACAATTCTTTGTTCAATAGTTCCAGGAAGTCCCAATGTTGTAATTCGTTTTGGATTCGTTCTTGTTAAAGAAACATCGATCTTAGTACATACATGGGCCAAGGTCAAGTCAACAAAGATAGTAATTGGAGTCTTCATGAACCCTTAAAAACAACGCACACTTTAGTCATCAACTAAGCTTAGAACTTAGTGACCCTGTCTCACACAGTTAATAAGTTGGTTTAAACATTGTAGAAAGAGGAAAACTTATGAAATTGACCGTTAGGCATTACTGATTACTAGGCTTCTGTTACAATCGTTAACTGCCACACGTGACGAAAAGGAAAATAAGTCCTATCGGCATTTGCTCAAGGCCAGAAAAATAGGAAATCAGGCTTTTGGACGTTGCTTCATTCAGAGCCAATCCAAATGTGGTTCAGTGACAGCAACCAAGCGTAAGGTACTGTTTTCAGGCCAGTAACAAAATGTTCCCGACTCTTGCTTAAATTGTGTTAGCAACGCCAAATAAAGGTCTCGGAAATACCCAATATTCAATTAAAACCTTGATCATTACACCCGCGGATGCGGGTTAACTTATAAAGAACCGAGCAAGCGTTGACCCATTATGAATCAAAATCCACAGACTCGGGAGGCAATGTGCTGAAGAAGGCAAGGTGTTTACGGAGGCAATGTGCTCAAGAGACATTGCTGATTGAACAACATATATTTGTTTCGATGTACCAGTAACTGGGGCAATTTTGACGAAGAGTTAAAAACTCAACAAGCAATTTCGAAGACAAATGAGAACCATGTAATCAGGACATCAATTGTTAATATTACATTGGAAAACGTCCTACATGAGACATCAATTAACTCAGAAAACAAAAACTGAATTGAAACGCAAGAAAATTGAAAAATTTCCACAGCACCAAGGACATTTAAGTTAAAAAATCAGATTTCAAGCCCGGTGTTAGTCATTTTTACAACGCGTTATTTGAAAATTTGCCTGCCGTCGCTGAAGTTCACGTTCGATTGTAACCTGAAATCTCACGTGCATGTAATGTAATCAAATACAGTGGATGTATTTCCACCTATGTTGGGCAAATATGACATCTAACCACACGGATAACATAGCATCAAAAGATTGATACCCCTGTAGGACAGCATGCCCCAAAACGCTGCGGACAAATACTTGACAACAGCAATGATGTTGAGACGCTGTTAACAATGGACGTCTTCAGATAAGAAAACGCAAACTTAAATTGAACATAGGCGATGAGTACAGGAACCGAGAGCTCACACCGAAACAATATTCTGGCATTTTGTAAGTCAGCTCGATTCGAATTTTACTTTGAATTGGAACATACAAAATAAGTGAAATATATAAATTTAACCCAAGAAATATTCCAAAAATTTGAAAACAGAAAAACTTTCGGACCAGTGTTAGAGAACAAAATATCTCGAAAACCAAGTTTCAATTTCCGGAAACTCGTTTTCACAATTATGAAATAATCTAAGAAACTCATGAACTTCCATGTCAATTATTTTGATCTTTAGAAACTTTTCAACTGTAAATACTCTGACAACGGATCAGGTTGAAAAGTACAATTGCTAAAAAAAAAATCAGTTATCCAACAGATCTTCAATTCCATCACATCATCGCTTGGCCCAATCTCCATATCATCATCCAAACTGGATATCATTCCTCGGACAGTCTTTAACTGCAAACAAGCATACGACTTATTTTTCTCTTCGACAGATTCTGCTTCGTGTGAAGTAATGGAGCCATGCTACTTTCATGATTCTAGCAGAAACTCGTGTGCCAGCTCAAATTGACGTTTTTCACAGTATCGGTACGGTGTTCTTTATAATTTCTAGGAGTTCTCTCCACGCGTTTTTAGGCAGTTGTCACATCATTGCGATGAGCAAACAGAGGTTTTTTTAAGCCTCTGGTCCCCTTTCAGACTGAAACCTCCAACGGGCTCTATTAAATTCTGACATATGAGCCTTCACTAATCTATAGAACAAGGATGCCAACAAAACTCGCAAACAATAGTAAAATTGCATTCTGAAACGAATCCTTTTGACTCCACCGCGGATCACCGGGTCTTTACAGGCCGTCGTCTCAAACAAGACCAATTTTCGGGGATATCTTTTCATCCATCTGACAGTCATCAAGGATATACTAATAAAAACTGTCATCCATTATTCATGATGAGGTAGATCAGGAGATCTCACCTTCTTGTTATCCCTCACGTAATGCCAACTTCTTCAGATCAACCCAAAAAATTTTGTCCCGTCTCGAGGATCCAACTTCTCAACCCAACTCTTTTATTCCCTGTTCGTAACTACGGCGATCCATGAAAGCACGGCGATCCTTACCACCTGCACAGAATAAATCGGAGTTGAAAGAAATTCAAGACGATTGACCTGATATGAGGCTACTGGTCTATCAGATACTTATACTAAGCTGCGCTTTTGTTTCCTTGGCTCTATAAATAAAAAAATTTCTTCGAAAGTAGTTTTATCATTTATAGTGCCGAGTACACAGGCAGCGATAGCAACCTGTATTGCGAGGGAATCCTATCCATAAGAAAACTACCTGCCCTGAGTTCCTCGGTACACTTGATCAAGTTCTTACTCAGAGCTAGGGTCGGCGGCACCCTGAACTTCAAAACCTTTAGGTTCGGCAGTTTCTCGTCCAGCTCAAAGCATAATTCAATCTTGTTCCTTGCACCCACGCTTCGAATATCAGCAGGAAATCCACATCGTTTTACGCAAATGTCCAAAGATCGATCCAAACTTTAACCCGGAATATAGTATTTTAATCCAAGCGCCTTGCAGCCCGTTGTGGCTTCTCGGTACAGGCGTCGCAGCTGCTCCAATTCTCCGCGCGCCTGATCCCTCTCGCTGCTTCTGGTCTCGCTCTGTAACATTCGCCCGAAAGATACATATCGACGGAAAATAAAACTAAGTCCTAAGACGACTGGCCAACGTCTAAACAGAGTTTTACATGCTTTTAACCGTCTCTACCATGCCAGTACTTTCGGTGGTCTTTCTAACATCGGGTCGACAAAATCGTTACTGCTTTCGGCTTCGGTCAAAACACTCAAATTAACTTAATTACATGCAAAATTAGTGAGCTCATGGCTGGGTCTCAGTATCCCCAGAACACGAGGTCACTCCTAAAAACAGGGCTACTACTATTTATTGAATTATTATTATTTTTGTTCAGTAGATAAAAATCATCATCTCCATCGAAGATGGATCAACCCTTTCCCCCCAACTCCTAGCTTCTCATCCTTACCAAAATGAATTCAGTTGTTAATAAAATTCAAATCAGGACATGACAGGGAAGCTAAAAGTTAATACAAGATAATAAAAGTTTCAGTCCCGAAACCCCTCCGGATTCTCGAATCCACTGAATCAAGCACGTTAAGCTTGATTTCTCTGTAACCCGGAAGGCTGGTTTCCACCCCTCACTGTTGTTAGCAACTGCCTTGGAACTATTGTAGCGACACAATAGTTGTAATTTGGAATGGTCTCTGTTAACTCTGCGATTTGTTGTCGTTATTCACTCACAATCTTCGTTGTTATCGCTATCGCAACTAATGTTGTTGTGTTTTTCTTCGATTTTCTTGCCAAAATTGCCGTTTCTGACGTTTCTCAGAATTGTTACGTC